CTATCGAAAATTCTGGAAAAATTCATAAAAACAAGATTAGTAAACTTTATTAACAAATATCATTCAATTTCTGAAAAACAATTTGGTTTCGAAGAAAGAACTTCCACAGAAGATACTCTTTTGGAATTAATAAATGAAATGCATAAAGCCCTAGAAAATAGAAAGCCTTGTTTATGACTTTTTATTGACCTAAGCAAAGCCTCCGATACTGTGGACCACACTATATCAATACAAACATTAGAAAGGAAAGCAATTCGAGGAAAATGTCTCAATTTTCTGAGTAGTTATTTATAAAAAAAAACATGTAGTGAAAATAAGTTATGACCTGAGAGAACTGCAATATATTAGATGTGGTGTACCTCAAGGTACTGTTCTTGGTCCTGTTCTTTTCAACCTTTATTTCAACGATGTGTTTGAACCGAACAGTGCAGAAGGAGTAATTAGATACGCAGATGATACTACAATATTTTATGAGGCGGATACTTGGGACGAATTGAAAAACATGGTGTAAAAAGATTTTATTCTCACAAATGACTGGTTTTGCCAAAAACTCTCAACTGTCAATCCGGAAAAAACTAAACTTATCACCTTCAGTTGTAATAAAGCTGCAAATTGTAGTCAACTTAAAGTCGTAAAATTATTTATCAATTCAAAACTCTTAAAAAATTTTCGCCTATCACGGAATTGAAAATTCTGTATTATTTTCTTGTTGAGAGTCGTTTGAGATACGCTATTACGGTTTGGGGAAACGCATCTAGGATATATTTGAATCCTTTGGAAGTAATCCAAAAAAGATTCATTCGGCTAATTCTCAATAAACTCCTCAGATTATCTTCGGATTCAACTTTTTTTGATATTGGACATCTATATTTCCTGTGTGTAAACGTCAGGTTTCATTTCTGCAATTCAGAACCAGCTAAGTCAGAACATGAATATAAAACACGAAATCGAAATGTACTCACCTACCCCTACATTCTAAAGAAATCAATTTCTTAACGAGCCTTCTCATATGTTTCGTTGAAATTTTATAGTTCGCTATCTGAAACAATAAAAAAAAATAATAATAAGCATTTGTTCATAAAAAAGTTGGGGGTATACATACCCCCAGCTTTTGTACAAACGCTAAACTAGGACTTCAAATACTTACTTGGACTTGACACAACTTTAACGAATGAGTTTAATACATCTTTCGCAGATAAAATTCTCCTTACTCATTGCTTTTTTTATTATATTACTGTACTGAAATTTTATTATAATGTTTATATACCTACCTGTTATTATATTATATTACTTTATTGAAAATTCATTATAATTTTTACAGATCTATTTAAAATTAATTTCATATATGTTTTATTGCTATAACGAAACAAGTACTTGGGTACTTATCGTATTAACTCTTTTATTCATTTAATAATTATTTAAAAATGTATTTATATTTTGTTTTCTGTACAGCTATCTATGGAACGCCGTTTTACTTTTTATTGTCACAAATATTTATTCCTCAATTTATTCAACTAACAATTTATTTGCTTGAATTTAATTGATTCATGCATTTGTTGTACACATTCATAACGATTGTTCCCAAAATTTGTTCTATTTTAAATAACACTTGATTTAAAATGTTACATGAATAAAATTGTTATTTGAATAAAAAAGACTGATGAAATAACTTGTAGCTTTTATTGATTCCGAAGAAAAATATTGTTTCAGAATATTGGAAAATGTAACGCCAATTTACTATATATTATGCTGAAAAATAATCTATATACATATAGTTCAACTCAGCAATGAAAAAACTTTTTCATTCAACAGTCAATGGAATGTATTATTCGAGTAAATTCAACAAACGATTCAATTCCGCATATATTTTTGACCTTTGAATAAAATATTAGTTATTTATATGACAGTTGAATTATAATGAAACTTTAAATTCACTTTCTAAAAGTAAGTTTGGGAATAAAATTTCAATGAATATATTTGAATGACTGTCAAAGTTTTCCCATGAAACATTGTTGGTAATAAAAATAGACTTTCGTTTATCTGAAAATGTAGCAAATTAACTTTCCATACTAAATATTTTTCTATGAATAATAAAAATTGATATATTTCAATTTTATTGAAAGTGTTGAATATTTCCAACATTCACTTTAATGCATTCAATTTAAAATTTCGTTACAACTTTTGTGCAAACCATTATCAAGCAAGTATTATTTTATTTAATCAATCATTTTAAAAAGCTAATTTCTGACAAAGAATTAAATTTTTTGATGATTTAAAAATTTTGTTGTATTTGAAAGATACATTTAAAACGATTGTTGATAATTTTAATTCGGCGCTGGTATCGAGTGGATTTATCAAGAACTTCAAGTGTTATATATGGCAACATGCTAGTTCATTTATAGTACGACAAAACGCCGTTCAACCGTGGCGCCGAATGAAAATTATCAACAATCAATTTAATTCATGTATCACTGAAATTCAACAAACAAAATAATTCAGCTCATTTCAAAGGAACATTAATAATTGGTATTTTGTATTTTGTTTTGACTGTTGCATTTAGGTGATACATGAATTGAATTGATTGTTGATAATTTTTATTCGTGGCTGCGGACGAACGGATTTTTACCGTACTATGACCGACGCCATACATATATGCAGTTGAGTAGTTCCACAAAAATACGCCCGACGTCAGCGCCGAATAAAAATTATACACAATCAATTTAATTCATGTATCACTGAAATTCAACAAACAAAATAATTCAGCTCATTTCGAATGAATATTAATAAAGAGCAAAACGGCGTGGCACGCCGTTTTACTTTCTATTAGAATTTTGTGAAAATGAATTGTTTTGATTGTTGCATTTACGTGATACATGAATTAAATTGATTGTTGATAATTTTTATTCGTCGCTGCGGTCGAACGGATTATTACCGTACTATGACCAACGCCATACATATATGCAGTTATGTAGTTCCACAAAAATACGCCCGACATCAGCGCCGAATAAAAATTGTCAACAATCAATTTATATTCATATATCACTGAAATTCAACAAACAAAATAATCCAGCTTATTTCAAAGGAATATTAATAAAAAGGCGTGGCACGCCGTTTTACTTTCTATTGGTATTTTGTAAAAATGAATTGTTTTGATTGTTGCTTTTAGGTGATACATGAATTGAATTGATTGTTGATAATTTTTATTCGGCGCTGCGGTCGGACGGAATATTGTGTTACTATCACTAGACTATCATGTTGACAGATTTAAAAATCCAGCTTCTGCAAGAATCCGCTCGACGCTAGCGCCGAATTAAAATTATCAACAATCGTTTTAATTCATGAAACTATAATTATCAACAAACAATTTTATTCATGTTTCACAGAAATTGTAGTAAATTATTCGATAGTTACAAAAGAAGTATATATGACAAACATTTACTTCCAAAAATTTCAATCAATGAATCTATATTATAACTATTAGCAACTTTTCATCAAACAAATTGATTCATGTAACATTTTAAATCAAGTGTCATTTAAAATAGAACAAATTTTGCGAACAATGGTTTTTAATGTGTGGAACAAATGCATGAATCAATTAAATTCAAACAAATGAATTGTTAGTTGAATAAATTGAGGAATGAATATTTGTGACATTAAAAAGTAAAACGGCGTTCCATAGCTTTTTAAGTCATTTTTTGAGCTCCTTCCAACCATCCACTTTATACAATACCACGTGGACATCGTAAAAACAATCCCTTACAGAACACAGACTCTCACAGAATCATCCCTACTTATGTTTCCATCAATTTCAAAATATTGCTTTCTATTTTTATGATATCTTTTCAAGATCTTTGAGTGATGTTTCCACTTCCATAGACCGCATATGTCATGTAAATTCTTTTAATATTAGGAAATTAGGTTTGAACATCATCAAGTCATAGAGTTTTTTATCATTTTTAAACTGTTGATTCAAATTTCGGTTGAATTTGTTGGTTTTAGAAACAACGAATGGTTCAGAATTTGTCTAGGGGGTTCTTCATTCCATTTCATTATTAGTTAAGAATAATATTTACTTACCTTAGCAACATATTGAATACATTAATTGCACATATTTTCAGCATCAGATTTTTTTTCATTTAGATATAAATCTTTGAATTTTGTAATTTTCTGGTTAATATTAAGTAGTTACCTAACTTCTGTACGATTTTTTGTATTCTTTTTGTGTCAAGCTTTTTATCACAGTACTCTTTCTAAGCAGTGTTTATCGATAGAAGTGAATTTATTTATATACAGAGTGAACATTTCTGTTTGAATATTACTATGGTATTTTGGCACTCTTTAATATCTTTCATATTCATGGCTTCAACTGAACCGTTTGATCCATGCCCTTTTCAATGATTTTTTTTTTGAAAATTCTACTTTTCTCCATATTATTGTCATTACATAAATGAATATGTTTACAGCATGTCGAATGTTATGGCTGTTTCATTTATAATCAATCCAATTTTTCTACGCATTGCTTGTTTATCAGAATCTGTATTATTTAATATAAGTAGTTTCTATATAATTCGTTTCTCTCAATTTCTGACTAAGTATTTCAATATTAATAGGGTAAATTGACTTATTATAAGAATTTACAGCTGATTGAAAACCATACCCCACACATTAAATTAAGATAGTATTCAGAGATTAAGCTGTGGTAAACTTTTCTGAAATGAAATAGGCAATTTTGAGAAAACACATTTGTTCACAGTTAACCATTTTATCTCTGAGTTTTCATTTAACCCTCTAGTTAATCGAAGATATGAATTGAGTAATATGAACGAATTGGCACAAAACTTGTTTAAATTATGTTTCCATATCAGTTTCATGTAATTTTCCGAGTATTCAAATTCTTTTGCTTTTTCAATTTTTCAAATACAAAAATACTCGTCACGTTTCAATAACTAATTAGAAAATTGTACAAAAATCAGTTTGTTTTTTTTAAATGAAACAAAAAGTATTATCAAGACATGTTTATTCTGCCGGCCTCAACAAGCTCCCAATTTACAAAGTATTACAATGAAGTGTGAGAGGAGAGCAATGACTGCTTGAAATAGCAACAACTTCACTTTTTCTCTGCCAAGCAATCAAATGCCTCCAGAAAAACATCAAATGAAAACAAATATTATATTAACGCATTACAAATAAATAGTACATCTGGTCAAAAAAAAGTCCAACTGTGTTGAATCCTAAATACATTGGTTGAGGACAGAAATTGCACGTCCTTAAAGCGAGCAAGGAGACAAACATGGGAGGCGCAACATCGGTGAATTGACTCAAGTGTCGGCCTTAGTACGATGAGTTCTATCTACAGTCCCATCGCCACCTCCCTCAGTCTTACAGACATCCTCAACTCGCTTTACTAATCTTAAAATGGATATGAGTGGTGATACAAACAGGCGAGATGATTCCATGAAAACGATCATGAGATGAGTCTCTCAACAGGAAAATAATCAATCCAACCAAATATCTGCATTCACAAAACAATTTTAATTCGTTGAGCCCCCACTTTGAATATGTCATAAGTGAATGAAAAATATTTGCTTGAATCAATGTGATCTTCGCTGCTTTAAGAGAATGCGCAGTAACACAACTTATACATAAATATAACTACAAATAATTTTATCACATATGCACAAATATTACAAATAATAATAGGATTGATTTGCCAATCTTCATTTAGGTGAATCTACTTTATGATTGTTTGAAACCTTAACTATAAAAGGGAACCAGAATAGAGTGCTAGGGATTGGTCAACTATGTACAGAAGTTGCACACCATTCTGGTCATGGCGGAAGTTACTTAACATGAAAATTTGGAGTGGTCGAAGACCACCCTATATTTCACTACAACATAATATGAAGGGCACACACATCAACATACATATATAGAATGAGATAGTAGGGCTGCATATACAGTAAATATAAATTATTTGGTTTGTAAATCGAAGAAAGTGGCACCTGATGTCCTTGTCGCGAACAGATGAAAAAGTTTTAGTAAGCAACAGACATGTGCACTCCACTTTGTACTAATCTCGTGTAGCGGATACCCGCTCCCATTACATCCCCAATAGGACCATCTTCAAAGGTCTCGACGAAGGGGACGGTAACTTTTTGGACAAATTTAATGGTTGCTGGGAATCTGCTATGTCCACCTGTAGTTCCATCATTTTGGGTATCGACATCATGGAGTGCGGACTGGCTGGAGATCTGGATTGAGGGGGGGCGGGTGACGTGGAGTGAGGTGACTGTGGATGAAAGTATAGCCTCGCATACTCCTGATGCTGATGTTGTGGGGGCGGTGTATTACTGCTTTGCATTTGATTTTGACGGGCGGTTGTGGTAATTACACTAGTGGCCCAAGCAGGTTGCGACCCATTTGATTTGTAGGGGCACGCTGTCGTTGCTGCAGTCATCATGGGAGATGCCGACGACGACTCACCCCTCATAATATAATTGTACATTATATCTGTCCTTTTTATCTGCTCGGGCGTCATTCTGGGTCCCTCCATTAATGATTTCGCCAACATTGAGTGCGAGCTAGACAAACTGGACTGAGATGTTGAAGTAAGCTGCATCTGGAGTTGGGATTGCTCTGGAGGCGGAGACATGACAGCTGGTTCGGCTTCAGCAGAGTCCTTGTTCCGTAAGGCCCTGAACTTTTTATGTGGCTTGTAAGCCTCGTCCATAAGCGAGTTAGTATCAAAGAGTGGGGGTGCTTGCAATACACGTTTAAGAACTGGCATATCTTCAACTATTTGATGGTCTTCAACAGACTTCGTGCTAGTACAATCGGATGTAGGATGCTCCATTTTTTCTGTACCAGATTCAATACCTGAATCGGTAGGTGATTCGACTTTTCGCGACCTGGAGTGTGAAATGTGAGATTTCAGCACTGGGGTTATTGTTAATCCATTGGGAATTAGATGAGACGTCGCAGCTAACTCATCATCGCCAGATGATGATGATGTGGTGGTGGAACCACCGGAGTTTGCCCTGTGTCTGTGAGGACACACGCCTCCTGCCAATGTAGCGGCCAGTAAGGGCGCGTTATTAACATTTGAGCTGATATGAGGGTTGACATGATTGGGATAATCATGCACTGACGTCATTTCGCAGGAACATACTGATTCTGTACTGGATACAGATCCTGTACTGGATACTGAGCCTGAACTGGACACGGAGCCCGTACTAGACACTGAACCTAAAGGAGATTTAGCTTCTTCTATAGTCACATCTGAAGATGAGGACCAAGAAGAAGCCGGCGGACTTTTACTGTTGCTCTCTTCCTCCATAGGGGTATTCCACAAATGATGCTGTTGCATCATTTGCTGTTGTTCAGTCATCTTGAAAGCAAGTAACTTTTCAGAATGTAAGGAATTCAGCGTTCGGACATCGGGTATTTTCATCATTAACTCGTCCATTATATGTGGTTGGCCTTGGTGGTTTTGGTTGACGACCATTTGTAAAGATGATTTCAGTTTATTGTGCATTTTTTCGATCACTTCGGTATTTCTGAGGCCGGGACGATCCGAAGCAATAACAACGATCGAACAAAAGAGTCCGATTTCCGCATCGGACAATCTCAGCGCATTCATTCTTTCCGAAAATTCGAACATACTGTCCATCAAGAATCGGGCATTAGAACTATTGTGAATAGAGTCACGTTTCAACACTTGTCCATTTAAACATACCATACTAGCGGTTTGAGAGTCAAACATACACGCGAGTCGCACAAGTAACACTTCAAAAACACCAGCTTTCAAGAGAGTAACTTGATCATCCTGGGCAAGCAAGGAGAATCCAGGAATGCGTTTTGCAAACTCGACTACACCACGTATAGCTGGGGAAAATCTCTTTGAGAAATCCTGTAGCAGTTCTTGCTGTCCAGTTAACGGCTGAGGATTAGGGTTGAGAGGGCAAGCCTGTAACAAAAAGAAACATTATATATCGAGAAAGTTACCACAGTTCTAAATATTTTCGTGTTATCTGCCAACGTTAAAAATAGAATGACCTCTGCGAGTCTCGGGAGAAGGTCGCGAATAAATGCGATCAATATGAAGGTTCGTCACGTAGCTAGATTATTATTGGGATTTAGAAATCTGTTAATCTAATAGGGATACAACGATATTGGTTAATTTCGAATCATTTGCATATTTATCATGACCTGTCTGGTCATTAATTTTGCTAGTTTCATCCTTACTTATTCAAGTACGCGTTAACCTTGCTATGAAACCCGATAATGTCAAGAGGAGTGAGAGAGACACACAACATCACGGAACCTTGAATATTTCCGTTTGTCCCCCTGCATGCAAGGTCGCCCGGTCTGGCAATGTGCGCTTTTGTTCAGGAACATTTAATTTGTGTCCCATTTCCTTCCGCTCGGTATTTCACAATATAAGTAAGTATGTGATCAACGCAAGAAGTCAAGGGGCACTTTAACACTGGCAAAATGTATTGAATTTTTGATAGGAACTTACCAGAGTGGGTGGGCATGCTGTGTAACAGGGATGGTCCCTTGCACGCTGCAACATCGGCTCAACTTTATCTCTGGTGAAGTCACAAGTGTCAATATGTGCTCGAACAACATTTTCCAGAAGCCTTTTTTCGTCCTCCAGTTCAGCAGCAACGGCCTTATCCAAAGAACGCGAGTTCGAACTTTGTTGCATGGCAGCCAAAATCCGCGCTTTTTCTCTCTTGGGGACTCGACCAAATCGTACAGCTGTAAAGAATTGATATTATTAATTTAAAATGCAAACAAACTGTCTTGATATTGAATGTGGCTATGAAGGTGAAGGGCTTGTCCAGGTGTTTTATTTGGAGCATGCCAGCTGCTCTACATCTGTTATAATCCGTTGAAAAAAGTTACGAACGATAGGAGAAAGTATCCGCCACGACAATATGAAAGATAGTTTGAAAACGCGGGAGAGAAATTTGCCTGCTTTCACACCGACGAAAGTGTTGTAGGTCAACGAAAGTGGTGCGATAACCAACAAAAAAAAAATTAAAAATTGCAAAGACACATACGTGCATTGTGATAGTTGACCACTCCGTTAAGTATCCCTTTAAGGATAGGTAATTCTTCGCCCATTTTGAACCTTTTATTTGCACTTTCACCAGTCACATGTGCACGTAATTGGATCGGGCTACAATCGCGAAGCGCGCGACCTGGCATTCCCGAACTGAGTGAAGTAGTAACGAGTAGTGGCGCGAACTCTGCGTCCAGAGACAGGCGTAGCACCCACGGCCGCGACTCCCCTCTAACGACTCCCCACTCACTCGCTCCTTCCCCTCCATCACCCTTGAACTTGAGCTGCTGCGTCCGCGTTGACTATCACGCTTTGACGCTAGCAGTGCTCGATAGCTCGAAGGGGGGCGCCAAGGCCGTTGTATGCCTCGCTATCACCGTCACCCACCTAGGGGACAACCCGCGGTTCTGATCGCCCATTTGGCACCACCCCAACGCATGGAAAAACATTTGAATGGTGGACTGTTTCTATTTTGAATGTTGTAAACAAGCATGAAACATTTGCATAACAGTGAAATCCGAATACTCTCGAGTGGTACAGAGCGATAAAAATTATATTGATGACTTTTTTTAGATTATTTTCTGTATTGATTGTAGTGTTTTAGGTAGAGAAAAATGTGGAATATTCGAGTTGAATGATGGAGTAATAATAACAGTCGACGATGAAAATCTTTCCAATAGTGAAGTTTGAACTGTTGACGACTCTAGCTCTAGAAGCATAAAAATGACTGATTCTTTATCAGTCAAATTAGATACAGAGAATATATGTGTTTTATAGTACAATATAGAGAAAAAATGTTTCTTGCTCCTTATATTAATTTTAAAGCAGCATCTGAAACTTCATAAAACTTCATGTTTTATGTTTATTTTTGTTTCATTTCTCAAAAAAAAAAAAATCCTAGTAACTTTTTGGGCAGTGTATGCTTCGTTTTCATAGTTTAGCCATCTTACCTGAAAGATTACTCACCAAATAAGCTAATTGGTTTAATCAAGAAAAAGCACTTATTTGATCGATTTTGAATTGGCGTGAGCCACAATAAATCCCCGCGGTTTTCAGTCGAGAGTCAAATAGACCCAAATGAGCCTAATCTAGAAGAGTAATAATAAATTGTCTTAGAACAATGCTCGAGACAAAGATTGAACCGATTAATATAATTACTAATAATTGATATACGACCTTTTAGAAAATATTTCGCCTATCAATAAACCCATTACATATCCGTTTCATTTTTGTTACAATAATGGATACTCATCATCCAAGCATCACCATGCGAGATATTTAAATCATGGCGAACAGACAAAAAATCACATAAAATTATCTTACAGGAATTGATATTGAGAAAGGTTTTGGCTTTCTACTTCTCCATCTTTATACTAAAAACATGATAATCTTCCAAAGACGGGAAAAAAGCAATTAATTTCAAAATAAACTCTTCACGAAGAAGTAACTTTCAGACACGAACTGAAAGAAAAACTCCTCTTGAAACAACCACATAATATCTTATTGTTACGATCAAAATTTAAGTTAAATTGGCAATTTGAAATTAATTTTTGCAATTCTGTGTATCAACAAAATGAATCATTCAATTAGATAGTACCAAAATGCAGTTCAATTTACAGTTCAAACCTAACCATAACAAACATGTTTTGTTTATTGGTATGTCTTTCCCAAAATTAGATATACGCCATGACTTTTTTATACGATACCAAATTAGGTCTTTGGAACAAAATAATAAATCCAAATCTATCATTCCAGTCATTATAAAATGTGAATGTGACCCTTTAAAAATGAAAAAATATTTTATACATATACTTATTGTTATTTTTTATATTAATGAAGCCTTATAATTATATTATATTATAATCGTAAACTAAACATTTTAAAGAAACTTAGATGAGTAAATCTTTTTGAGGAGAACACTCAAGCAGAAATTAGTAGCTAGTTTTTTCTTTCCTACTGACTTGTTATGGAAATTAGTTATTACTATTTCTATTACTAGTATTCAGTGAAATAAAAATTATTATAACTAACAAGCAGTTATCAGCTATCACGCCAATATTATATAAATAAAACTGTAAATGTAATCATCTACACATAGGGCAGGTGAAGTTGATAAAAAAAAACATACCCTGAATAATAGTTAGCCGATATCGAATTAATCAATCTTAATTATTATTTGGTGACTTTCAACTCAGACATTTTTTAATTATTGTACTCTCCCCCGTCCATACTGACGGAAATAATTGAAGATTTGTATTATTTTTCAGTTCTATCTCCGAATATGTATATTTCAAATCAAATAAAGTATAATTTTAGTAGATAACCAATCTTCGATCCGATGCGGAAACGAAAAAAATATCGAAAGACCTACTTTCCAGTGCCACAAGTAATTTTCATCCGATTGAATAGAAGTTGGAGAGCCTGCAATACAGTTTTTTGTAGTTGCGTGGGCGTGCTCTGACACAGAGGTTCTCTCAGAGCATGATTAATACAGAGACAGGGAGCGCAAGCGTTCGTTATTTTAGCGAGGTACAGGTTTTTGCCGCTAGGTCGCACCAGCTACCTTGAACGATGAACTGGACATATCGATATTTAAGCGGTCGTTGGCGCTGTCAGGCTAGGATCACAGGCGTTAGAGAATTGCATAAAATCAGACAATCTGCCTAGGGGCATGTCGAGGAAAAAATATATTTTCATTAAGAACTAGTAGAATGAGTGGAAAAAATACGGGTAGTGAAATTTTCTAAACGAACGGAATCACTTATTGTTTCTTTGAGAGAATGAATTGATTGGAATTCTTGAATTTAAATAACGTCGTAATGTTGATCAACACCAATCAGTTTTTTGAATAAATAATATAGAAAGTTGGTGCTGACACAGCAATTATTTTAGAGATCGTCGGCGGTTGGTCGGTAAAAATAAGTAAAATTTCTTTTCGACAATGGCAGAACTGTTTTATTCGCGTTACGAAACTAACTTTCTCCTGTGTGAGGAAGTTAGAAACGGCTTGGCATGCGAACCTCTAAGCTTTCATTGAACTCGCTACCAATTACTTTCTACTAATCATCAAGCTCCGGAGTAAAAGTATAAACGACGGGGAAATGTTGTGAGATTTAGCAATCCTATCGACATTGCGAAAAATGGGATGGCTGAACGAAGTAAAAGTGCACGTTTCAATGTAGCACAACGATCTAGAGTTCATGTCGGTTGATGGCCGAAGCACACTGAGCGCCAGCAATGCAAAGTTGTGCAAATGCTGTTACAGTGACGGACTGGCAGGCAGGGAATCGCCAACTTTCGAAATTGACCAATCTCGGGGTAGTATGACCCAGTGTGCAAGGGGCATTCACCTCTAGCTGCCTGAACATTCTCGGTTCCTGCGCGTTGTAAGTCTCGCTCGGAGGTCATTCACCTCGGGATCTAGACGACCTATATTCGCAAAAGGCGCGGAATCCCCAGTCCATTTAGGTTCATTTCATCTTTAATTATTCCAATATTGTTTATTGAATTTATGTTATAATAGACGCAGAACATCGTTCAACTGGCACACTCACTTTTTAAAAATAAAACATGAGACCAAGTGATTTTTTTGTTGAAACAAATGATATGTTTTGCTTTTCGAGTAGCAAAGTGATGTTGAATATTACTGAAGTGTTTTCCACAACACCAAATCGTATTGGGATAAAACTCCAGTAATATTCATTACTACACCAAAGGTTCCAAACAGTGCATTACAAGTACAAAATGATATTACTCACCATCTCTGCTCATCCCAACGGTAATGCACTTCTTCAGCCTGCAGTATTGACACCTATTCCTGTTGATCCTGAGTATGGCGCATTTCTGACTTTTGGTGCACGGCCTGTACTGTATTTTCTGTTGTATGCTGCGTCTGAAGAAACCCTGCGAAGAACACTCATTTTGAAGACAATCATCACTATCGGATTCAGAAGTACAACACGTTTCGTCGACACTAGGGACTTTCGGCCCTTGCGACACTAAAGACTCGGTACAATTCAACACAGCCATCATTATCGATATTACTTAATAACTTATGAATAATTGAACATGTCAAGGATGAAAGGAACGTCGTTATTGAGCTCTGTATCACGACCAAACTGCGAGATATTCGAGCGAATACTGATGCCTAGCGCTCGAGTTTACCAGAGTTAACCAGTTGACCCAGTTCCCGGTTGTTCACCCGCCGAAGTAAACTTGCGAGGCCAGTTCAGTACGTGAAAGTGAGAGTAGATGTCTCTTTTCCACCCGCTGCCAAGCGAGTTTGTCGACAAAGACGGCGAGAGTTTCGTCACTCGCTGAGCATTAAGACTGTTGCCCCAACGTGGTGAACGAAATATTTTTGCGGGTTTTACATTCGTGGCGGGCTTCGAAATTTAGAGGGTACTTGCTAATTGTGCGAAAAATCGCGATTTTGGAACGTGAGTTGCAAATAGCCGAGGACGCTGGGTCATTGACCTCTCAGCGAAACTGGTGCAATTCGTATAATTACAAATAAAAACGTAAGTAGTAGAATAAACAATATTGAACTACTTCGCGTTTAGCGCGTCGAGTGAAAAGTAAAATAAAAATTAACGATGTGTCAACAAAGTTAACGGAAACTAGGCCAATATTTGGCGAAGATATAGAAGGGATATTAAGGTCAAAATGATTAACGACGCTCAAAGTGGTGCAGTGAGTGACACCGAATTGGGTTATCTGCCATTATTTTTGCGAATTATAAATGATTCAGATGAGTTCATCGACCTCGCGGTAAACAAAAGTAGATGACTGGCCGGTCAAAGACTTCTCGCACCGATGCGATGCCTGAATATGGGTTTCTCGAATATTCTGACGTCACCGTTACACTGTTACGTCAACGGGTAAGCGGGGAGTTCCCGCTTTGCATCGTTTCAGTGTCAACGAACGTCGGTAATTATTCTTTTGTTTCGTTTTGTTCACCCGAACATTTTGAATGTTCTATGATTATTTTGCATGATACGGTTGTTTTGCGCCAGAAATGTGAAAATACTTTGGGTACAAAGGATATGCGCCTAGGTACCCGCGCATATTTAAGTTTTTTTTAAGCTAAAGGCACCTCAATGACCAAAATTTTATTCTGGCGTAAGCGTTTCACGATTTTTTACGGATTAAATAGATATTATGAGCATTTATCAAAATACATATCCAGAATAGATAACTAGTAATTACAAATTTCCTTTCTTAAAATGCTTATATGTGCCAAGTTGAAAATCGGTAAAAAAATTTCTGAAAAAAATTGGGGCATCCCTTATCATTCTTCCGAAGTTTTTGCGGATTGGACAGAAAAAAATGAAATGTTTTTCCCACAATTAATATTTTTTCTTTTATCCATAATATGCTTTTCAAGATAGAAACTAAATCTAATATTTGGGTCAATCCGCAAAGTATCAAGAACATATAGTGGTTCAAGTGACAGAATATTTATTTTGATAATATAACTTCAATATAACTACAATACCCATTTTGCAAAAAATCAATCAATAAATCAGATTTACTTTCTTACTACTACCTATTTGAAACAGAATACTGTTAGATGAAGAGTGAAATCTAACAAAGAATGATATTCACAAAAAAAATCAGAAAAACTATCTTCACAATTTTTTTGGGCCCCATCATACATAAAATTTTGTTTCATAATGTCTTCGGTTTTTTATCATAACACTTTATATATAGACATAATTTTAGTTTTATTACCTAGTGATTTTTTCATCCCTAATTTTTTGTGTACCTTCTTGTACACAAATATATAATTCTCGCTGATCTAGGACTGATTCATTTTTGTCATATAATCATATTCCGTATCAGTGAATTTCAAAGTAAATTTTGTAACTTTCGGAGTATTTCATTAAAAATGATTGATCAGCTATTCTGAATTCTAAATTATTTATGCCTTCTACACAGGGCCGTAGCGAAAAGAAAAACCAGGAGGGGAGGGAATCGAAATGTTCCCAACTCCACCAGCAAAATTCATCAACATTTGAAAAAATGAAAGCCGAGGGATCAGTTACTACTATAATATATTAATTTTCTTACTTAGCTATCCAAAGATTGGCTGAATGCTTATGTCCGTTAGGATATGCACAAACAAAAATAAATTTTGGTAATTATAAAAATAATAATGGGAATGATTCTACTTTGGACCAAGGTCCTTGTTCTTCCACCATATCCACCATGTACAGGAATATTCAATACAAATGAAAGGAAACAACAACAAATCGAAAAAGCAGGGGGGGAGGCTCCCCATCCCAGGGCGACGGCCCTGCTTCTACAATTTTATGTTTATATAAGATATTTTCATTCATTATAATTTTACTTGGGTCAATGTGAAAAAAATAATTGTGGTTTTATTTGAATTTTAGCTTTGGCTCTCAACTACTGATTATTTTTCTAATTCTTGATATTATTGAACTAAATTTCATTTCATGTCTAGTGTGTATCCATATTTTGCAAAAACAATAACATACATCCTCAAGATTGCACGGGGTCTTATTCCAGCTCCCGTTCACGAAAATATATGAAGGTTGCTCCTAACAATAAGGTCGTTGGCAAATAAAATAGTTTTTTGAAGCAAACAGATTCCTTTTTCAAAAATGTTCATTCTCCACCTCATCTTCTTAGAAAAAATCCAACGTTAGCCTTCAGAAAATTCCTCCCGAATTTACAATACAGAACAAAGCTATTCGCTTTTGTTTTTTACCAGCAAGTCTAGTATTCCGCAGGTCAACGTCCCACGATGTAGGTTGTCGTACTCGAGACCATTCGCATTGCATCATTGCGATAACGGTGACGGTGGCGCATGCGTTTACTTGGAGTTCATTGGCCCAAGCGAGAATTCCCGTATAATACACAAAGTTTGTTATTTGGGCCAACTCGACCCGGTTACTTCAATCTCTATTGCGAAATTGGACCTCGATTGGGCCCAGTTTTCTCGTTGGCCTTCATTTTTACTAAATGCGAATTTAGTGGGCTGAAACAATATTCTGTTTCGCGAAGAAAGTTTATTATTTATACAGTCAAGAGCTTTAATAATTGCATGAACACAACTGTGGAGTAAAATAAAAACATATCTATTAAGTTGGACCCAAATTTGCCAAAATTAAAGATTTGAAATTTGTTGTATAAAACAATATTTGAAGATATGTTCAAAATATGTTTTTCCGTTAACTAGCTGTCATACCCATATAACGACAACCCTCAGAAGTCGAAACTAACAAGGTCTTATCTTTCAACGTGTGATTCCTAACACGGAATATTTACTAGTGAAAAGTGTAAATGTGAGACCAGATTATTAGTGAAGTTTACTATTTTTTGCAAAACTGATTGGAAAAATCGAAATGAAGTACGTAGTAGATTACTGTGAGAGAGTTAGTTAACGATTAAAGTTTCCAGTAAGCTTAAAATTGGGTTGAAATAGGTTTTTTTCGTTCATCAGCTACCACGACATCTATGCAAAAGTGTGAGAACTCATTCGTATCGTTTTTGAAAAGAGCTTAAGTTTCTAACTCGGAAATGTCTAAATTTGTTGCCGAAACAGATAAAAAATTTTGCTTTCATAATTGTGTTTCAAAATAGTTGATATCAGATCAATTTGGAAGATTTTAGTGTTTTTATTGTTCCTTTTTGGTGGTTTTCAAGTGCTCCCATCTAAAAACGATAGAATATTTACGAGATCTCAATACCGGGTGAGTGATATTTGGATGTGCAATTCAAGGCATTGAATAGAGTATAGAGTATAAAAAGTGATATTCATTTTGTAATCAATATTTTTTTGTATTATAATTATGGATTTCAAAAACCCCGCAAACTGCAAACTCAAAGTGATCACTCATGATTAAAAATCATCAAATGATTCGTAAAATTCCCAAACAAAAATTCTGACGTGGAATAAATGTGTATTTTTAAATGAAATGTTAAAATTTATTAAATTTTTTTCTCAAGGCTGAAAATGTATTGAGATAAATAACAATTACAACTGAAACTACATTAACAAACTAATAGATGTTCAACAACAGGATACCATAATTTTAAAAACATTTGTTGATGATTTCAAATAATGCTAACAATAACAAAATCGGATGTCTATTATCCAAAATCTTACTTGAAGTGATAATACATAAATTTACGAAAAATAACTATATTAATCACCATTATTCCGGCCATCTAATGTTATCTAATCAATGATGATATGAATATCTTGGTGTTCATAAAAAATGCATTGACTCCAAAAAAATCCATATTATTATATTAGGGCTCCGAAATACCTTTATGAATTTTCAAATTATCTGACATTAACTAATGATAACTCAATATTATCGAGATATTAATATTGTCCTGGAAGTACAAAAAAATTATTAAAAAATATACTAATCCGTATTTAAAAATCCGAATTAAATATTAAAAAAACTTTCCTATATTTCTACAGTTCAAAACTTGCGAAGACAAATTTCAAACAGTTATTGCGAATATATGCAACTAAATGAGATATTAGTGAAAACGTTTTTGTTTTATTATTTAGGATTTAATTTTTTTTGTAAAGGTCATTAGGAAAATACGTAGAAGGGTAGACGTAGACAGACTACTGAGTCAATCCCATAAAGGAGTTGAAAGGATTACTCTTATGAGAAACATAAAATTGATTAGAATTATAAATTTGCCTACAACAAAATATAGTTTAATTATGAAAATTTATAACTTTATACAAATTCAAGTTGGCAGGGACAGCTATTTGCTTCCCATTAATGAATTATTTAAAATACTACAGTATAATATAATCTGAGGTACGTAGACTTTTAATTTAGAAGGTCGTAATGTCCAAAAAAAAACAGCCAAAATGTATCAAATGGAATTTTGAATTCATTTTTCGTTGAAGTAAAGAAGTTGGGTTAATTCCGAACCAGAAATATCCTGTGAAATGTGCGGATACTCAAATGTAATTCTCTGGAGGTAATATAATCGAACGGTATCTACAAATGTCAATTGGCTACTCCTTCCTTATTGATTCAACTGTATCATAAACATCAGTCATAACAATAAAGTAATAAACCCACGCGCTCACATAAACCGCCGAACATGATTACGTCTTCTTCATCGATGTAATGGACGCACGTCGCAGAGCACCGGGTACTTCCTTGTTCAAGATCAAAGATAACCCATCCATTCTATAGTTAGTAAGTGCAACGATCCTAACCTAATACCGTTACAAAAAGCCTGCAAAAGTCGGAGAAGGGGTAATCGACGTCTTAAAAAATTACGGTCGTTCACCTACGAGTCGATTCGCGATACGCCACCTCGTGGACCGAACGCTCAACTAATTCGCACCGGTAAACAAATTTTACGAGGAATTTATAATGATCGTTTGTAAAATTTTTCAGAGTGAATGAACTTCGGCAAATGAGGTTTCGTTCCAGATATAGGTGCGAGCATAAAGAGAATGGTTTTTTGCTCGATGATTCGACTTGACAAACAATGTTGTTTGTGTTGTTGTAGGTGAAAATATTATATAAAAGGCATACTGATATTTGGGCAAAATGAAAATAAATAGGATTCAACTATTTTGTTTTGCACTTAATCGGTAACCGACAGAGAGGCATATGAAACATTCCAATACATGATAATCAGAAACACCCAATGATGTAATCGCGCCAGATTGACTGATTGGGTCAATATCATTGACTAAAAATGTATTTGAACACCTAATAAATCTAATATCTGAAATGACGGTATAGAATCTCTCAGAAAGTTTAGTTTCAGAAATACTTTATTGTTTTTTCACATACCAATTATATTACATTACATCGTTTGATTCCCTTTGTATACTTAGTTTTTTTTGGTTTCATTCAGTTGTTGAACAGTACACTTTGAAATGTTGAGTTCATAAGTTATGGAGGAAATCTTTTCTGTTCTGTCTATTAAAATCTGTTTTTCTGTTAACCAGCTGTCGCTCCCCTACAAACGACAATTCTCAGATGTCGAAACTTGTGCGAGCTAACGACTAACCTTTTAACGTGTGATTTCCAGCACTATTTTTTTCAACTTTGATTTATTTGCTATTTGGGTACCCACCACATAGTTCTCTTTGATAACAGTTACTGAATATTTATTGTTTATATCTTTTATAGACACCCAATATTATAATTATCTACGTAGATAATTGGTGACGAGATGAATGAACTTTTCGTCATCAATTATATCAGGGAAATTTTGACAGTATCAGTTAAGTCTCACTTCATATGTCAAAATAAGAAAAAATATATTTTTCTCACCATCATAAACTATGTACCACTTTTACAAATAATGAACACTTTGAAGTCTTTTCTGTGCCCTCATTATTTCTTTGGGAAAAATTGGGTCTGTTTTTTTCAATGTCCTGCCTCTTTTCAGACTCCTTTTTTGTGAAATATATAAAAGCCGTCGAAAAAAATCAGAACGGATGTTGCAAAATAACACCCTTTCACTCAACCCCTTTCAAAATTTCCAATTTCTCACAAACCAGATTTCAAGTAATTTGAAAAGGGGTAGTACAGGTAGAAATAGAAATTAATGGTATAGACAGGTATAATTTTGCCAAAAATTGCGTTCGCCATCTGCCTCAATTCTTCAATCAAACCCTTCTTAATGGAAAAGGGTAGTAGGATCAAGATTTTTTTGCTGGTCCCTCTCGCTATAATTTTTCTGTCAAGGGTTGCAGATGAAAGTAAAACGCAGGTGTCAATGCGGGCGGGTTCAGTCAGGTAAGCTGGTGACCTTGGAATGCCAGCGTGAGTTCATCATACTTTACAAGCTGACGACCCGCACGCGGCGTTGCCAGATTGTTAATAGTTCAGTATTTCTTGATAAAATATCAATTTGAGTGTTATCACTGAGAAGATGAATTCATGTTTTTCATTAGTGCTGCGGAAAAATGATTATTATGATATCTTAGATTTCATGTTTTTCTTCAACGTATTGTTTCAAATTCCTTGATTAGCAGATATATTCTGAATTGAAGATTATACAAATCGAATTGAAAGAATAATTATGGTAGTTTTTACAAACAGTACTTGCAATTATCGAATAATTTTTAAATAAATATTAGCTTGAGGAACGTCAATCACAAATTGATAACTCAAGCAGAGAACAAAAGTTGGCAACGCTGTTGACTTTTTGTTTCTCTGCAGGTAAGCGCACGCACGCGGCAAATGCCAGATGCACGTATCTTTTTTTGGGCAATCCATGGACCACTTTTACTCTTTAATGCTTTCGGCCACATCGAAAGAAGCCTAATTGGCGGTTTTATAACATACGACCAGCAGGCCTTAGCGTATATTTATGATTTAATGATGCAAAGTTATTGACAACAAAATTAATGCAAGGGAATTTGAAAAAAGATTTATGGATATTTTGTAGGGAAATTCATAATTGGAGATTAGACACAGTAATAGATTTGCCAAAGTTAGTGAGTTTAGAAGTCGTTCATCTCCAATTAGAACAGAAATAAAATCAACTTCAAACAAAGAAATAAAAAACCTCGGTAGATAGAGCCAAGGTAATTGAAAACGATAAAAAAATTAATTAATTAATGGATGTTCAGGAAGCACGTTGGCGAATTTTGAAGGATACGTTCTTGAAAACGTGAATTATAATGTAGATTCGGTTTCAATGCTCTTTTTTCAAACCCATCACATTCAACTCGACTGCCACATAGCAAGTCGCTAACCTTGTAACAACAATTATTTCAAGTTTCGCGTCCCACGGTACCGACATCTGCTTCGATCGACAACAATTCGATTGAGCATCATAAAAAATTGCTTCCTACATACTAATGACCTCTATGGTCGTACTTGAACTCTCATTTTAGGCAGAGACCTCGATCACATCAAGAGTGTATGGCTCCAAAGGCGTACGTTTGTAAAATTGTATTACCGAAGTACAAGAACCACACATCCACACATCAGTTCTATGGAGAAAGGAAAATATGTTCGAAAAATATTCTAAGCGATGGAAATCCAAACTTTTGACGACCGACAGTTTCAAAGTGTCAAAGGTAATAACCGATGAACTGTCGTTTGTCCTTATCATTTTTATAGAAACTGTAACTACTGAACGAAGGTATTCATTTATTTAATGTTCAGCATATTTTTATCTAACTTTACTCAGGTCATCTATTTTTGGCTTCCAGAGATCATCGAGAGATTATTCATTACAGAATACTGACAGAATAGTAAATGACAATATTAGAAAACAACTAGAAGTTAGGGTGACCAGAGGACTAATCTGTTTAAAAATCTGTTTAAAATCTGTTTTTCTGTTAACCAGCTGTCGCACCCCTACGAACGACAACCCTCAGAAGTCGAAATTTGTTCGAGCTAAGGATTAACGAGGTCTTACCTTTTAACGTGTGATTCCTAACACGGGTTGGACGATAGCAAGTGAAAATCGATCGTTCAGACTAGGTCTTGAACCACCGATCAACACGGCAGTCAATTCGAGTGAGTGAACAAAACACCCGCGTCGAACCGCCTGGTCACCGACACACCATGAAACCAACATTTTTTGTTTCGGTGAAGAATGATCGATAAACGGGAGAGAGCTAAGAGAACTTGGAACAAGGAAGGGAAAGATATGTTGAAATCGAGAAGACTAGTAAAACGATAAATGTAACCTCTACACTTCAAGGTACACAAAAAACAGAATTTTGCCGATATCGATTCTTTCAAATAATTTTTTTCAAGTTTGGCGGGTCTCAATGATAACCCAGAAATATTCAGTACATTTTGACGGTTCTGATAGTATAACAATAGTGTTGAAAAAATGACATGTTCAGGGATCCTTCAATGTTGAATGGAAAATGTATTTATAATATACAGAGATGAGTGTTGAGAAGTAACTAAAGTTGAGAGGTCCTGATTTTCAAGTTGAAATGCCAACGCGTTCAAATAAAATAAACTATAGTTTAGCATGAAGCCCCTACTTCCCCACCCAAATCACCGCCGATGTAGTTCAGCGCTGGCGTTGTCTTCTCCTACTCCCCTCTTCCGCGCTTTCAGCCAGATCGTACACCGGACATTGACATTACAATAACCGACCTTCAACCTTCATTTTGCACAACAGAATACCAGGTAGAAGGCGCTTGAAATAACAAAGAAGACTGGTCTCCATCGCTTATCATTCGATTTTTCTATAGGCAAACAACACCCTGAAATTCGATACGGTCTACTCCCTTGAAAATCGGTTTCCGGGTGTGTGATTTTTGTGGCCAAAATATCAAGGTGAAAAAAACGCTTCCTTATTATATTTCGTCAAGGTTTTTGTTCAATATCGAATTGACCGAGTCCTCAGTAGGTTGATCAGTTTCTGAATGTATTTCCTGACAAATAGTAAACCAACTGGAATTTGCAAAATTTCAGAGGGTCATGCAGACCTTGGCGATTAATTTTCCGTTTTCCTTTACAAGTGAATAAAATAATTGAAATGATAAATCAGAAAAAGGCAACTAATGGAAGATTTCAATTACTTTTTTATTCAAGACTTTGTTGGAAAAACTCATTTATAGATTTTTCATTTTCAGTGGTAGTTCGATAAAAAAAATTGTGGTTAGTTTGAAACTTGTTGGTTTACTGAAGCCAGTTGAAACAACATTATGAATATTTCCAAACTCACCTTACAACCCTCACAAGAGTGTACCCCATAATGAAAACCTGAAGCTTTGTCTCCACAAACCCTGCACAGCACCGTCGTCCCGTCAAATTCTGAAAAAGAAAACGAATAATGAATAAAATGTGATGTCATTGATGCGAGCGATCGAAGAAAAAGAAAGCAATGCGCTGCTTTCTCCAAACGATGCAAGTGGAGTGCGTACTGGTTACATCACTAGAGAAAGTGGTACACACTGTGCATCGGTTAAGTAACTTTGTGGGAATTTTAGAGATGCGTTTGATGTATCGAAACATATTTCAGAGCTGTGAGTTTGAAGTCAAACGTTGAAGTACTTACAGTGTGTGTAATTTTCTGACTGAATCTTTGAATGAATAAATTTCATGAAATTTCACCTACTGAAAATCTCATGATTTATGTAAATTTTTCAATATATCAGCTATAATATCAAACCATTTCTAAAGACAAAAATGACAAAAATATAGTTCAATTAGTAAGGGGCACAAAGTAGTGTTTGTGAAATCCGTTGACACTTTTTCCTGAATTCTACTTCTTTATTAGTTTATATCCAATTTATTCATACCTAAATTCAAAGCAGGCTCTCTGTGGCAAGGAGTCATATTAGTAAAATCCAAATTGTTCGAAGTTGATTCTGGTAATTGGGGAATGATGTGAACGCTGCTGTCCGGTGAAATAATCATTTTGAAGGCACTTTTTAAAACTTAATCACAATCAATAAACCACTATAAACCGATGTATGTATAACATTTCTTCAAGTTAGAAGCACATGTGCATTGACACTGAACAACAATGTCCAAGAGCAACCGAAGAACTGACGATAGTGAAAGTCCCAGTTGATACTGGGCCTCCTCTCGCTCGGTTGTATAGTAAATATTACCTGAAGGGCAACAAACCATTCCGAAGCGCGGGGAGGGGGCGAGATTTTAGCAGCATAACCGCGAACTTGTGAGTTCATCGCATTTTCAAGTTGGAGGTCACTGGCAACAATGCTCCTTCGAGCCAATAGCAGCCCAGCACGAGCGAAGCGATTGGCTTAGAGCCTTTCAGGCTCCACCTTGTCGTGGTAGGGAGCTGGTGCGAGGAAGCAAGTTCAACGACTCGAACCTTGACTGAATTACCCAGACAAATGAGCAACGCAACTTCGGCCAAGGTCGCCTCGATTGCGCGCACTCACTCTCTCATCGAAATCAAAAATTGTTTTATTCCTTTCACTAATTTTTTTTAGATCATGTTACTTAGTTCACACATTTTGTTGAAGTATTCCAGAAGTGAACCCAGCAATTCGACGTTATTCGAGCTAAAGAGAAAACAAGGAAGAAATGTATAGAACACGTAAACGACACTGTCCGCGTTGAAATAATTCATGTCTGACAATTATACTACCAGTTTATGAAATATGCATAACAAGGAACTACTACCGTGGCAAGGAAATCTTATCATCGTTAACTCCTTTTTAACAACACGAATATTATTAATCATTTTAAGGTTTTCACGATTACATTTATAGCACAGTCAATAAAGTATAGGTTAGACTTCTAAAATGAAATTCTTTTGATTTGCATGACGTCTTTTTCTGGTGTATTGTGGCGTATGACTGAGTAGAAGCCACAGTTCCGATTCACATTCAGAATTCTGAAGCTTCACCCTATTGCCAAATCGCGAAAAAATTGGATGTCACTCGCTGTTTTGGAAGCAAAATAGAGAAAAAGATCCGATTTTTTTGCTTGGTTTGAGAGTTGAACTGATTTGAAAATGAGGCCTCTGTTTACTTACCATCTTCCGCACGGTAGAAAGATTGTTTTCTTTGGCGACAATTGACAATCAATAATAGGTAGTCCAAAAACGAATAGATACCTAATATATCTGACGACAATCGTGAGAAGTTGGTAAAACTGAAATCAATGAATCATTCGGTCTGCCACTAAGATTCTGTGATTTTATTCAGAAATTTATATTTTGTCATTCCTAAACTAAACATTCCTAAACATTGAAATAAATAAATGGAATGATGCATATGCTGTATATGCTGGACCTTTGGTGTAGTAATCAATATTAGGAGTTTTTTCCCAACACCAAACTGTTATTTCAACACTTCGACACGTGTTTCGATCGCCAAGTGATCATCTTCAAGAGAAAGGTCAAGGTGATCACTTGGTGATCGAAACTCGTGTCGATGTGCTAAGATAACGGTTAGGTGTTGAGAAAAAACTGAAGACAGTTTTGATCTTCCTCTTGAAGATGATCACTTGGTGATCGAAACACGTGTCGAGGTGTAAAAATAACGGTTTGGTGTTGAGAAAAAACGCCAGTAATATTCATTTAAATATTAAGTATATAGATACCTACTATTGTTGAAGCACTGTTTAAAAAAAAGTAGTATACCAGTGAAACCGCCGGTTCTTTTATGTGACGATAATAAATTCTTGAAGTAATATCTTCTTCATGTTTGAAATGTCAATGAAATTTTTCATGTAAAATTTGAACTACGTTGAAAGCTGTCAATTTTGACTGCTATCCAGTACATTTGTTGTGTTTTATATTTTGTTTATTTGCTGAAATTCATGTTTTTTTTTGAGATACATGGCGAAAAAAATATTTTTTTGAGTGTAGGCAATCAATTATCATTAAAAAAATTATCTTATTGACTTGGTATAAAAAAGAAAATGGGTCAAAATATTAATTATGTGTTGTAAGAGCAGATTGGCATATCGGGACAAATAGGTATATCAACTGCAGCTGCAAAGTAACAGAATTGACTATTTTTAGATACGTTAGTAGCAATAGAATATCACTCAGTCTTTATGGATGTTAGCAACTACTCAGATTCAGAAAAAACGAATTGAATTGCCCGGCAATTATTCAAATATGTCATCATATTTTTTATCAATGTTTCCCGCGAAAAAAGTTGAACTTACTATGTATCTAAACTTTCATTTTTTGACAGGTGAAATATACCAAAATCATTTTCTAGATAAAACAACTAATTTTACGCATTAATGATTACCTATCACTCTGGCAAAGACTTTTTTCCCAAGAAATATGTAAAATGAGTTGTGGATTTATAAAACCCATAGTTCACAAGGTAGCTTGTGACTAAAATACATATTTTATATAAAAAAAGGCCAATTCATGAATCTAGTTTTTTTTGCGTAAGTAATGACTTCTGCATTCAATTCACGAAACTAGTGATTTGTCCAACTGTGATTTTATCTGTGATAACATGAAAATACATAGAATAAAAAACTTTCTGTGTTGAAAACTAGGATTAGATAAAAACTATAAACGAAAACTGGAAGAAAAAGCTTTCTCGAAATACACAAAAAACTTTATATTCCGGTTTGTGTCGCACACAAACGTAATCCACCAAAGAGATTCCAGGGGATCTTTGATCTTTGTTTCTCTGTTTGGAAGTTTCTTTTCCTTATAGAATTAATGGAAAATTATAAGTAAAAAAAGGTATTTCCCAAGAATTGAGCTAATTTTTTAATGACACAAGGATAATATGTGCCACCATCTAATAGTTGTAATTTCCACCAGTAACTTTTATAGTTTAATATTTAATATATTACGTTATCCTCTCTTCATTCTCCCTTGCCTCAAATGATGTGTGAGTTTTAGAAATTTAGTCTATAACTCAGTTGAATTGTCATAGTCTTCCGCCAATGAAGAAAAGAGAATTGAAACTTTCTATATATTTTACCACTTTTATTCATAACTAACGTTACTGCAATTTCGTCCTATAAGGACATTTTCAAACTTATACAACTTATATAAGGACGAAACCGCAGTAACGTTAGTTACAAATAAAGTGTTAAAAAAATAGAAAGTTTTAATTTTCTTCTCTTCATTATGATTTCCTACCACCTAGTAACGGCTACATCCATCAATTTATCTTATGCCAATATTCGACATAAAAGCATATTCATAGAAAAAGATAAAATTTGAAATGTTCACAGATTTGTGTTTTAGGCATATTCTCGAAAATAAAATGAATATAACATACCTAACAAAACCATTAACAATGATCTAATGTTTAAGCTACTTCAAATCATATCTAATAACAAGAATATATTTTCCAACAGCTAGGACAAGGCTGACTAAATATTGATGATGGTCTCATTGTCATAATGATTATCCAGATCCAAGGCTTACTTATCGGCTTATGTAAGAAATTAGGTGTAACCATTGTACACATCACATCGGATGAGGTCAAAAGCCCCTTGTTCTCAATCAAGTTGTCGCTTTCACGTGTGTATACGCATCTATACGCATCCAACGTATCTTTATAATCCTATGTGGGTAATCAGTGACGAATTCTTTTCGTTTTCATTCATTCACCTGATGGTATTCGATAAAGAAAGATACGAGGCAAAGCTTTGTATATCTTCGAAAGGTTAGAAAAACGTTTGGTATCTATTTGAAATGATTTGATACAAATAATTTATAGGGTCACATTTCGCCTGGACACTAACATTTTCAATCCTTCTGAAGGAATTTCAAATATTTTTCACTGTAAAACGACTCACATCAAATACTTTTTATTTCAAAAATAAATAACAGTTGAAACTATTCTTAGGAAGTGTGTTTCAAGAATTGTGTCATAACAGAAGTATTTGGAAAAGAGGTCAAAGTTATAACATCTTGATTTTACAATAGGGTTTTCTTGGAAGACATCATTCTGAACGAAAACAAGATATACTTTGAAAGGCCGTCTCATAATTTTTTCGAAAATATAAGACTTTCGGTAACGGTTACAAAAGAGCCACGTTCTCAGAATTTATTGAGGGGCCATTATTCGTACCGAAAGTAAAATTGTACAGTCATAAAATCATATTTATTGAAGTGAAAGTTCCTTCTTTCAATTTTGGCATAAGGTCACGGTTGTAAACATTAATAAAATCAAAGGGTTACTGCGTTCTATAAACTAATTTCGTCTATGTTCGCACTGCCCGAGTTGCTAAGGAAGCAGGTATTCGTTGAGTAACGTGAGTATCCTTGAGGTGTGTCATAGACGTGCTAAATATTGAATTAGCGACAAATTGTGAACTAAAACATTATATAAAAGCTCTTACGTCATTTATCTAACTGGATTACGGTCAAGAAATTGGCTCTTTCAGAGTTTATTCTGTGACACCAGGATCTCAGTAGGGGTGGTATAGAATTGTTTAAAGGTAAGAGATCTTCTTCGAACAATTCTACATCCCGTCCTAGGAAACAATTCTCGACAGCATTGTGTTTTATATCAACACAAATACTCTCATGCCAATACTACATGGTATTTTTGAGTGGAATAGATATTTCCATGGGAGAAAAAATTACGTACCTATGTCTTGATAACCTACCAATCAAATTACGGAGAATCTTTGGAAATTCTGGATTTCTATGTTGAATACGTTCAAAAAAAGAAGATGGAGGAGAGTTATCAAAAATTGGGATCCTTTCTCTGTTGTTTTTCATGTCATTAGTTATTTTGATGAGAAGAATATATTCAAGTAACACTTTTTTGGGAGATTTTCACTGGACGTTGAGATTGAGATTGAATACGTTATGAATTTTCATCAAATGTCAGTCAATTCCATCACATATGAGAATATTACTTGGTCATTAGTATTTTTTTCGAGTCATAAATCTTGTGGAAAATGGGAAAGATTTTTGAAAAGTTCATGATTTCATTCCAATTATTTAAGCAAAATTCAGTATACTGATGGATGTGGCCTTTACTACGTGGTAGGAAATCATAATGAAGAAAGTAGAATTGAAACTTTCTGTTTTTTGTAACTGCAGTGACGATAGTTACAATTCCCCTTTCTTCATTAAAATTCAGTA